GGCTACAAGTAATCTCGAACCGTCAGTTTAAAAAAGAAAAAGCGATACCGTTCCGATAAATATCAATAATTTCGAACATCGCGGGGAAATTCCTTCGACTCATTATGAAGTTTTGGGGAAAGCCGGAAGTGACGTCAATGCGGGAACGCTTCACTGTGAGGCGAGAGAGCCAAACACGGACAAAGTGTGTTGTCATGCGTAGAAATGGTGAATTACTGAGTTTAGGCACGTTAATAACGTTTTAATGAAGTTGACTACAGTATATTCATATTTGTCAGTGCTTTCATATCAATTCGGCGAACATATACATAAATGATCGTGGTGAAGATGATGATTAAATTAGGATTACAAATCGGTAGTGAGAGCTGCTGAATTTCCTCCCGTAGGATGTGATATAAAAACAAATCGTTTATTTTTGTAGTTGTAAACTCAAGTGGATGAAACTACATGTATTAGTGCTTTCATGTCAATTCGGCGAACATATGATACATTAAATGATCGTGAGGATGATGATTAAAAATCGTTTGTTTGAGCCGGTCTGCATTTCCTGATGAGAAAACAAACCGATGCTTTTTGTAGTTGTAGTACACCAACATGGATTAAACGTGTGTTTTTTTTCACCACAATGTTGGGGAAATTAATGGATAAATGCACGGATTATTATTATTATTATTCCACTCCGATCGGGACACTAGGTCCACCGTTCCCCCGCAGCGAGGCTCCCCCCGTTGACAGTTTACGTGGGCTGGGCTGGGTGCAGTGGCGGACTGGCCATCGGGACGAATCCCGATGGGCCGGTAACGAAGTGGGCCGGTCGGATAAGTCACTAGCACATCCCCCACTCCCCCCGTTGACAACTTACTAGCGGTACCGAAGTGGGCCGGTCGAGAGTCCCGGGATGATTTTTAGTCCCAGTCCACCACTGGCTACATGACCGTATGATCGCCCATATTGATGCACCTAATTCCTAAAATTCTAACAGATACAACATAAAGCGATCCTTCAGCCTCATATGAGCTCTCAGACACGTTCAAAATTAAACTGTCTGAGCTGTCTGAGCTTGCTGCTGTGTACACCATCGTGCGTTTACATGCAGATGCTGGGATCCTGAACGGTGCAGCTGGAGCGCTGTGCCCGCAATGACGTCACACGTAATTTGGCGGGACTTGAAGAATCCCCGAGAAGATCCAGAAAATGGTCAACATTGAAGGGCAGATTAATGGTTATCAAAGTACAAATATCCAAAATCAGTTCAGTAACGGTTTTTCAAGGGGACAATATTTACTCAAATTGATGGGTTTGGATGATGGGGGAAACTCGTGGTCACAGGCTCTTTAAGTTGCACGTGTATTGGTGTGATTACGGAGCCAGAAAGCAATGCACGTTTACTGGCGTGCGCGGTGCGCCGTGTGTTTGTTTTACAAAAAATGGCGAAGCAAATTAAGTTGTTTGACCGTTCAGCCAACCCGTCAACTTCTCAAACGAATGTTCAAAGTGATTCAACTGATAAAGCGCAAGGTGAACCCGAACGAAAAGCAAAGAGGAAATGTGTAAAGTCTTGGGAGGCGAAATATATATGTACATTCTAGTGATGTGTCGGTCGCGAACGAGCCGGCTCCAAGAGCCGGCTCTTTTAAGTGAACGACGCGAGCCGGCCCGCGAACGAGCAGTTTTTAAAAATGTTTTAAGTAATACAAGACAGAATGATATGATGATCGCCGGGCTACAGCTGCTCCGTGCATGCACGCAGTGACATGTAATATCCAAGGATTAGAGACGGTTGGATGCTGCTGTTTTGAGCATTGCAATACATTTATTTTTATTATGTTTTTTTATGATTAGAGACGGTTGGATGCTGCTGTACTGAGCATTGCAATATATTTATTTTCACTATGTTATTTATTTATGATTATCCTTGGGCTCAGCAAAGATTTGATGTCAGCTGCTGCTGTCTTTTTTTCTATAGTTAATAGTTACTGAAATAGAGCCAAGGGCCTTTTCCTTTAAATATAATTTGAAAATGTCGATACAGTAGCCCCTTTTTTTTAAATGTCTATGCTTAAGTTTTTATGGGTGTTGCTATCTGCTTTGTGTAGCGTGGTTCTACAAGCAAGTCAGTGCATTCATTGGGTGGTATCAGAGAGGTACAAGGGTCTGTAAATGCAATGAAAACATTTGGCCACAGCAAATCATTTATTAAACATGTCATTTTTACTTTTGAATACTTCAGTACAAAGGATGTATTGAATAATTTAAGTGATATATGTGTACACATATAAATCAAAACAGGTCAAAACAGGGCTACATTTGATTTAATTATAAAAATGTATATGTGGTAAACTGAAGAGCCGTTTGGGAGCCGAAAGAGCCGGCTCTTCTTGGTGAGCCGAGCCAAATGATCCGGCTCACCAAGAAGAGCTGGAATTCCCATCACTAGTACATTTTGCTACGTTCCTTGTCCATTCACTTCCGGTAAAAGTTCCTTCAAAATAAGAGTCCCGATCTTATTACTACCAAAATAAAAGTGCAAAATGAAACTTTACCATAGAAAAATATTGGCATAAAAATATAATCACTTCTATAAAAAGGTAACACATGTTAAATATAGTTAGATATATTAAAGGTCATTTACACCATTAATAATTAATATCTAATTCTTAACTGTGAATGGTTTTCATTTATTTAACATTAGAAATGTATTAGTCTGGCCAATGACAGAACCACAATCAAGACTTCAATGCTGAAGGGCCAGTGGATCTATGGTGGGGGTCAGCACAAAGGTCAAGAAAACCCAAATTTGAAAGGGAGACAACGGATGACCAAGAAACTAGTGACTTGCTCAATTTATTTGTGAGGGATCTGTGAAGAACAGGACAACAGCTGCACTACTGGTGTTTATTATACCAGCAATTGAGGGTGGACAAGTTTACTACCACTTAAGTTTCAAATAATTGTGTTAATTACTTATTGTAAAGCATTTGAACATTCTTTTGAGTCACATGTCACATCATTAAGTTGATGTATAACTGTATAGTATCTTCATTATTTAAAATATAAGGTGACTAAAAATGGCAACCGTATTTTCAGTTTTGGAAACCAAAAGCTGATGCCTGGTAACCACTTTTAAAAGTTAGTGTTGAGCCCTGAATTGTATATATTTATATCCAGATCCAACGTGTTTTTAAACGGAGCAGAAATAGAACTAGTCCCCCACTTCAAGTATCTTGGAGTCATACTGGACTCGAACTTGACTTTTAAGAAACATATCAAGAAAGTATCCAATACCGTTAAATTCAACTTGCAACATTTTAAAACAAATCAGACCTTTCTTAACTGTCAATGCTGCAAAGTCATGCCTCCACTGCATGATTCTATCCCACATTGAATACTGTTTTACAAACTGGTCGTTTGCTTGTGCCACAAACCTGAAACCCATAGAACAGCTGTACGAGAGAGCTATCCAGGTGTTTGACAGAAAGCCACATTCATACCACCACTGTACCATCCTTGAGAAACACAATTTCTTGAGTTTTGACCATTTTAAGTCTTTTAAAAGTATGTGTTTTTTTATAAATGTTTACATGGACTACCCCCCCCCCCCCCCCCCCCCCCCCCTTAGGGGAATTCATCCACAGAAACACACTGGACGCTGCACTAGGTCAGAAACCAGAGGAGACTGTGAGGTCCACCAGACGGACCACTTTTGGACAGAATGTCCTCTCCATTAAAGGCAGCTCTTTGTGGAAGAGCCTCCCAACTGAGACACGGGATTGTCCCACTCTCAATAGCTTTAAAGGTCAACTCAAAGAATGGTTGAGAAACAAACAGATGTGCAATCACCGCTAAATGCACTTTAACACAGGGGTATCTCCTCTTGTACTTTATGTATCATAGCTGCTACATTGTACTGCCTTGTGGTAAATGCTTGTATGCTGCTCTTGCTCTTTCTGCATATCATGTATTTATTTTTGCTATGTATATAAATGTCACGTTCTTATATGTTGTATGTGACGGGACTACGGATGGAAATTAGCTCAAAGCTAAAATCCGGCTCATTTACACTTGTAAGCATTATTTTTGTTTTAAAGTGTTCATCAATGTGCACTGTCCGGGTTCAAATAAACGATTAAATGAATAAATAAAATATATAAATATATATAAATATATATGTGTGTGTGCGTGTGTGTGTGTGTTTGTATATGTCCGCATCTGTAGCCTGTTATTGTCTCAATATACCGCACTGTCAATTAATTAAAAAAATATAGGACATTGGAACAACGAAATTGCCATTACAGTAAATATATAAGTGGTCATGAACACATCTGTCCATCAGACAGAGGGCTGCTGTGCCTCCTGTCATCATTAATGGACGTCTCTTTAAAATGACCGCTCAGAGGAGAGGAGTTCTCATTTCTCTAACCGCCTGCTGCTTCCCCTCCTCTCTCCTCGGTTCCCCTCCTCGACTCCTCCGCTCGCATCTCCTGTAGGCGGGACTAAGACGTGAGGATAGGAGTCAAGGAGAGGAGTCGAGGAGGGGAAATAAGATAAATGGGAAAGGTCCATTGTGTTTCACCTGTTGCCCCTGTGCTTCACCTCCCCTCTCCAGCTGTGTATTGTCCTGTGATGACCCCTATGTATTTAGTATTGCCTTCCCTTGTGTTCCCTGTTCGGTTGTCGTCATTTTCCGTGGGGTCGTCTTGTGTCTAGATTTCCCTGGTCTACCCTCCTGTATTTTCCCGGTTTGTTTGTTACTTTTCCCTTTTGTTCCTCTTTGCCTGCTCCTGCCGTTTTGCTTGTTCACATAATAAAAGCTTGCCTTTTGTTTGCTTCCCCAAACCTGCCTCCCTGTTTTTACTGCTTTTGGCACTTCCAGGGTTTATGTTTCTTACCAATATGCCAACTCATACAAGTAGTAAAAAGCAGAACAAAACTGAACCAAAGAGGTTTTAGGTATAAGATGTAGCTTGGTAGAAATCTTTGAACTGCACTCGTGTGTGTACCTTGAGAAAGGGGAAGTGGGCCAGCATGTTGGCCACCTTCTCAGAATTATGTCCTTCTCTAAGAAAGTCCAGCTCCAGTGGCATGTTCTTTTTGGCCTCATCCACCAACCACATGAAGGCAAATTCTGGGCAGAGCCAATGGACCGCTTTCACCAGCACCTTGAAATGACAAATTAGAATCAGTTTCCAAATCCAATAAATTAGGAATTTACACATAGATTGATATGCTGTCTGTCTGACAGCATACAGTTGATCAGGAAAAGTGCTGTTGATGGGATTCAGCACTGGGTAATTCAAGTCAGAGGAAATACATCTACTATCAAGAAGCTCTATATACCTACAGTATATGATTATGTATGTATGTATATAACAAAATAAATGCATGTGCGTGTATATAAAACTGAATTTCCCCCTCAGGGGATCAATGAAGGTCCTTCTTCTCTTCTTCTCTGCTGCCGGCGCCAACTGCGCTGAAGCTTCAACTGCGCTGAAGCTTCAACTCCCGCTTTAGCCTGGTGCACCCACTATTGTTGTCCCCCAGGCCAACAGTGCCCAACACTTAATTTAGTAATTCACAGAGACACACTCACCTCCATCATCACTATGTCCTTGACACTCTGGCTCTGGACTTTGGGGTGTTGAACCTTGATGGCCACTGTCCTCCCATCATGCAACAGTGCCTTGTGGACCTGGGCTAAGGAGGCTGCACCATGAGGCTTCTCCTCAAAGGACAGAAATAACTCTGACAGCTGAGGGAGACAGAAAGAGATGAAGAAGATAAGAGTGGGAAAGAGCAGTATGAATTTCATATGCCATGAAAACAGGGATTTTGGGCCCCATGAAAAGATATCACATTGGTTACTTAAACATTTTTTTCTAAAAAATGTTCTAAAATAGTTGTTAAAATAGTAGGCCCCTGTCAGTCACAGGCCCTTAGAATCGTCCTAACTTTTCACCCCCTTACGGCGCCCTTGCATATAAATAACACAATTTCAGCTGACACAAGGTAAACTGATTTGCATTTAAGCATACTTTTAACGGTTCAATTTAACCCCAGTTGTTGATAGGCAGTTGATAAACCCAAAAGTTTAACCATCTATGTAATACAAGAGGAACTTACATTATGCAAACCTTTATTATGTAACTATGTTGCCAAACATTGTCAAATAAACTGAAAATATATATACATTCATGGAGACATGCCGACATGTGCATCAGGGGAAGCTACTGGTGTGGCAGCTACTTTCAGTAGGAAACCTCAGGCTAAACGCCTGTCGAGTGTGCTACTTTACATTACATTGCATTTAGCTGACGCTTTTATCCAAAGCGACTTACAATAAGTACATTCGACCAGGAAGACACAACCTTGAAGAAAACAGAATCATAAAGTATATCAGGTTTCATAGAGCCAAACATTTCAAGTGCTACTCAACTGGCTATAGATAAGCCAGTCCATTTTTAGTATATAAGTGCTTTGTTAATAGTTCTATCGCTCGAAGTGGAGTCGAAAGAGATGAGTTTTCAGTCTGCGCCGGAAGGTGTGTAAGCTTTCTGCTGTCCTGATGTCAATGGGGAGCTCATTCCACCATTTTGGAGCCAGGATAGCAAACCCACGTGTTTCTGCTGATGGGAACTTGGGTCCCCTTCGCAGCGAGGGTGCAGCGAGCTGTTTGGCTGATGCAGAGCGGAGTGCACGCGCTGGGGTGTACAGTTTAACCATGTCCTGGATGTACGAAGGGCCAGATCCATTCGCAGCATGGTACGCAAGTACCAGTGTCTTGAAGTGGATTCTAGCAGTTACCGGAAGCCAGTGAAGGGAGCGGAGGAGCGGAGTGGTGTGTGAAAATTTAGGAAGGTTGAAGACCAGACGAGCCGCTGCATTCTGGATGAGCTGCAGAGGTCGGATGGCACATGCAGGTAGACCAGCCAGGAGGGAGTTGGAGTAGTCTAGGCGTGCTACTGAATCATAGTGGCAAACAATCAATTGTGCTTGTGTAACAGTGTAAATAATGAATGTTTGTTTTATTAAAGGTCACCTATCATGCTATTTTTAGGCAATAGCATAGGTCTCAGATAAAAAAAAACATGTCTATGAAGTGTTTTGCTCAAAATACCAAACAGATCACCCATTCTAGCCATGCCTCATATCCCTCTATTTCATTTCCTGTTTCAAAAGTGCTGATTTTGGGTATAAAGCTTTAAAAAAAAGAAAATGTATAAAAAAGAGGGGCGGAGCTTATGCCTGCTCATGCGGGACATTCTACCGGCAGATAATGCCTTGATTATCAAGGATCATTTCTGAAACAGTATGGAGCTCAAAGGCTTTCTCTCTTGCCGGTTATACAACAAGGTGAGTTCCTTTTTATTTCCTGCTTCTTCACACACATGCTCTCCAGTACAGGTTAGCTCTGAGTGTTAGCGATGCTAATGTAAACACAGACCATATTACGTCCAAAACCGTCGGGCATTGTTTCTGATAGCAACGTTTCTGAGAGTGCTGTGGGTCCGCCGCCGATATGACGTCAAATCGCCGCAAATCTGGATCAACTCCGTTGTAGCCCCGTTTTTAGAGATTTGGGTACGGAAGAAAGAGACACACCGGGGACACATATTTATGTATAAAAGAGATCAAAAAGGGCATTTTGCATGATAGGCCCCCTTTTAAATCCTGTTAAACTGGGACTACAGCCATAGTTTTGCCATTTTATTTTTGAGAAACTGCAGCCGGAAGCGAGTGTTACGCTGAATGTGGTGCATTTTGGAAATCCCTCAGTGTCAAAGGATTCTTAGCTGCGGGTGACTTGTTGCTCTGTTCACTCAGTTGTAAATATGATAATAATTGTGATCTACGTGTACCATTTTGTGTAAAATCTATCTGCATTTACTAACTAACTAAATGTCTTTAGTAGTTGTATCACTTATTAAAGAATTGTATATAAACTGAGAGTGAGCCTTTCCAAATCCAAAAGAGGTAGGTTTGCGCGCGGCAAATGTGCACGCCCAAATTAGGTAATCAGGAGAAATGGAACCCCAGTGATTACATGTATAAACCATGTATTTAACATATATTGCATAATTTTAAGCATTTTTCAGAAAAAGTGGTAGTTTGGTAAACAGTGACATCAACGACATGTTTAGTCTGTAAAATGCCCGAAAAGTAAAAGAATGGGAGATAAATATCTATAATACCCAAAGTCTCCACATTTTATTATATTTTTAATGTGTTTCTGGTCCTCTTTCAGTTGAGACAGTGTAGATCAGTATTTCTCAAACTTTTTCATACCAAGGACCACTTAACCAATACAAAAACACTCGCGGACCACCTAACTCCACAAATATCAAAAAACACATCGTTTTTTACAAATCGCCAGAAAATGGTACAAACAAGTGGCCACATGTGTGATGAAGGTGTTGCACTGGGCTATATCATGCAATCAAAAGTTAAACTTAAGCTCGCTCCATTGCGGAGATATTCCCGCGAGAGTGCGGGAAACTTTAATTAATTAATTTATTTCAAATGTGAAATGTTACCAATATACTCACGGACCACTAGGGGGCGCTCACGGACCACACTTTGAGAAGCACTGGAAGGATGTGTCAGGATGTAAAAACATTTTTAAAGTTTCATGTTGTTGACATATTAGAGTCAAAGGTTTGCGAAATATCTTTGTGTTGCGCCATAAATCAGAAAATACTGCATTAAAAAAGTTATTTCCTGCATTTTTCTACTGATAAAGTGTGATATAAATAATGTACAGGCTTTCAGATTGCTGTAGTTCACTAAACAGAGACATTAACGACATGTTTGGTGTTGAAAATGACAGAAAAAGTGAAAGAATGGGAGATAAATATTTATATAAAAATTATATTTTGTGTCTGTTTGTGGTCCTCTTTCAGTTGAGACACTGTAGGTGAAGGATGCTTCAGGAAAAGATCAAACACTGGATGTCTTTCAGTCGCCAACATGTGTTTTCGAGACACTGATACTAACGGGAAATCCTGCAGGACTCAAATGCCTTGTTCCCTTAAACTCATTTGGGAGTGATTACCCATCAGCCCCGGAGGTGCAGAGGAAAGGCAGCGTTACCCCCGGTCTGCACGTTGTTTCTCTTTCAGAAACACAGCGGACTGTTTGTATGATGCGATCACAGACACGCTGCAAATGGTGTCCGCCAAAAGTCGAGTCCAGTGTCTATGTAGTGTCATTTTTATTTGCTATAGTTTGGGAATATTGAAAATCGGTAGGGAAAACCAGCTAAGTCGGTAGGCGGTAGAAACATGTCAAAAGCGGTAGTATACCGCCCAAATCGGTAGGTTTGGCAGGTATGGCCGTCTTCCAGCTAGCTAGTTAGCCGCAAACCGTGTGAACAACACAGTCTCACAGCATTTCGTGTTATAGTCACGAAATTGATCTATTGATTCGTGTTCACCAATACGATTTTCGCATTTATTTTGTTGGCAGCTCATTCCTTAACACACAAGCTTCCGATTGCTTATAATAAGAGGAAATATTAAATATATGTTATCTAAATAAGTTATTGAGCTTTTTTCTTATCAACTTAGATTTGTTAGAAAATGTGGGCTTATTAACACATATATGTTTAAGAAGTACAATATAAAACATGCACACGTTTAATTTGTGGGCCATATTTCATTATACTTTTTTAATTAGCTGAGGGCCGATTCAAAATGGCCCTCGGGCCGCATTTGGCCCCGGGCCGTAGTTTGGACAACCCTGATGTAGTAGCAGAAATATACTATTGATGTGTGAAAGGGGTTTGGTTGCATTACATTGTAAAATGTCAAAGTATTTTAAAATAGTTTTGAATAAAAAAGCCTGAAAAATATTTAAAAGCATATTTATTCAAAAATAAGTGTTCTACTGTAACAACAACATAACCATTGATGTGTTTGGTAGCACTACATCTTAAAAAAATGAAGTTATATATGAATATATATTTTCGGCGTTGCAGTTTATAGACGGTCCCAAAGCACTTCTCCTGCTCGCGACACAGAGGGCCTCATCATATAACTTTGCCCCAAGTTGGCCAGGGGCGGCTGTTAATTCACAACACACAAAGGCAGCTCATTCTGGAAGAGCCTCCCAACTGAGACACGGGATTGTCCCACTCTCAATAGCTTTAAAGCTCAACTCAAAGAATGGTTGAGAAACAAACAGACGTGCAATCACCGCTAAATGCACTTTAACACAGGGGTATCTCCTCTTGTACTTTATGTATTATAGCTGCTACATTGTACTGCCTTGTGGTAAATGCTTGTATGCTGCTCTTGCTCTTTTTGCATATCATGTATTTATTTGTTGCTATGTTTATAAATGCAGGGGTAGACATTAAGGGTAACATTCCGCTGGCCCTCCGGGCCGGTGGACTTGTATTATCACTGGCCCCACCATTGTAACAACTGGCCCGGAGCATTCGTCCAAAATAAATCGACTAATAATGAAGAAAATTAACACATTAGTTGCAATAGTAATTTATGCACTAACTACATTACTACATACTACAACATTTGAACAATCAGTTTTTCCTCATTTTCCTCAATTGTTCATATTTGGTTTATTAAAATAATGATATTGTGGTCATTGTTAAAAAATGTCTGCTATTATTATGAGTATTATTATTTGTATAATGCACTTTCTGCCTTCCTGTCATTAGGAGTTAGACATATGGCTATGTAATATATTAGATTAGATCCTTCATTATCCTAAACTGCTGGGACATTTCGCCCT